CGAATCAGCAATTAAGGTGGCTGGTACCAGTTTTCTCGCGCGGGGAGTAGATCACCATCGTGCGTCACGCGTGAGTAACACGCACGATAGCGTTGCGAGATTTAAAACCCGAAAGACCAAACAAATATGGCAGCACGTGGCTTTTTTCGCGCAAGGTGCAAATTAGTGTTGGAGACGAAATTCGCTCATAAAGGAGGCTTTAACTGCTAGAACAACTTTAATCAATTCGTTGTATTTAAGAAAAATTGTTTCACTGAAAATACTAAAATTGCAGTCAGGGATGTACATCAGAATTAAAATGTGTGCTTGACACGGACTCTTGTTCACGCTAGAAACAACGTTAATAAAACTTCAAAGACGTTTCGAGCAAACAACTTCGGCCTTCATCGCTGTTTTAAAAAGCCAACTGAGTGACGGCTTTCTAACGGCCTTCTGGTACAGTTCTATGCTTAATCATATCGCTGAACACGCGTTACAGCGAGCAAATGATTTCCCTAGTAAGTCGATCCCTTGTCACTTTGTTATCGGAGTTTTGATTAAGTTAAAAATTGCATATGTACGTAAGCTTAACCACTCCTTAAACTATACAGTGCTTTCTTTTCTTCCACAGTGTGTAGAAAATGTATGTTCTATTTCGGGGTTTTAAAATCTGTAATGTCTTCCAAAATGTATCTCTAACACTTCACAGGAGACTGTTGTCTGCAACTGCGACTACTATTTGTACATTTCCTCAGAAAACTGTCCATAAATGGGCATTCTTAGTTCAAAGACTGTTCTGTCACAGCGTGTCTGTTATTCTTTCGCTCGCAATAATACTAAGCGCATTCAGTATCAAGTTTGGAATGTTTCATGATCTTTCAAGGGTGTCAATCTCAGAGTGATTTCACTTAACCCGTGAAATAATTGCTACACAATTGGATACTATTAGATGCCACTTTACTTATTTTCGTTTACTACATTAATTAGTTTTGGCTCTTTTTGACTAATTGTTGGATGTCGTTTCACTGGTTAAATAAAATCACTCTAGCAGGAATTATATCAGTGAATTGTATTAAAATGCGTTAGTATAAAAACCTTATAAGATTAAATTTGGAAATACAGTTAACAATAAAGATTAGCGAAAAAACTGAGCAACGACGTTTC